TTTACCTTTTTGATGCAGAGAATGTTGAAATATCATTATATCCTGTTGTTTAATTGCCTTTAAAAATGTCTTGTGCAGAACAAATAGGTTAATTTTATGGGTTTTGTTGATGCTAAACTCAGCAGCAGAACCAAAAGACATCCTGTCTGCCGAAACAAATGAAGAAAATTATTTTAGTTACTATCTTTCCTTCCTAACAATGCACATGCTGGCTTTAAAATAACCCCATTTCCAGTAAGTTCTTTCTCTGTTATCACCCAGAGTTACCTGGTTGAGATCCTTTTCTCTGCCCTCAGAAATCCAACCTGTCTTTCAAAGCCTAGATTATTGCTATAATCTTAAAAATTTCCTTCCTAATTAAACTGGTAATTAATGTTCTCATTTATTTGACACTGTTTTCATGTCACTGAATCTTATTTTTCAAACTTTACTGTACTCTCTTTTAGTAAATTTCAAAGAGTGTGATAAAGTATGTAATTATGTAATTAGTAAGCAATGGCTGCATTTAAGGCATTGTGCCATATGGGCATCTGTAGGGGTACAGAAAGAAGTCACTGTGTAGTCCTTTGTAACTTATTTATAATAATAAAAGCATAATATGCCAATTAGACTGGATGTCCTTGGGGACAAAGCTAAGGCGGGGCGGGGGCGGGGGCCAAGGCCCTTGCATGAATTTCGTGTTTCCCAACAAAACCTGAAATAATGATTTTGTACATTTGTCATTCTTAGGTTTGCTGCAAGAAACAACATATTCTGACAATCCTAAAAAAGCCATTTAATGCTTCACCATCATGTATTATTATCTTTCTTTTCTCCCTCAAGAACTAGGCATCTGAGATTTTATCTGTCTTTCAAGACAAGTTAACCTGTTAGGATTTCACAGATACTGGCAGAAGCCATGAGACTCCTGGGCCAGAGATAAAGGACGTTATTACCCCCAGCACAGCAGGCAGCATGAGCTTTTTGTTTCTCCCTCAAGTTCCATGGGCCTGAAGCATAGCAGCCTAGGTAGATGCTGCTTGTACAATGAGTATGTGTGACACCCAATTAACCAGCCTCAAGCTTAGAAACTCTGTCTTATAAAGGGGCTGCTAGCAAACTTGTCCCAACTTGTGCCCAGAGGGAGAGATTATTTTTATTATCTTGGTCGTGAAACAACCCTTTTTCATTTGCCCGGAAAGGAGATTCTATCTTTATCTTCCAAGGCTGCTTGAAAAGAGTGTGGAACAAAAGCTGTCAGTAGATGTGTGGAAATGCTATAGAGAATTCCTTACCCAGTGTGTTGAAATAGTCCTGGAAATAATCATGATGAGGCAGTGATGGAGGAGAATATGTGATGGCATGTTGAGGTTTATTATTGGCCTGGGCATTATTTCATCACTGAAAACCTATACCAAGTTAAGTATGTTAAGAATATAAAGCATTATTCTGAATTACAGATGAGGTATTCTCTAATTTATTCATAGCACTAAATGAATTAGTCATGGAAATCTTTACAATGATAGATGATCCTAAAATGAATTTGTATTTTCTTTATACACACACGTTTTCTAGCATATCCTTTTGAATAATGTATGCATCCACAGTAAAATCATAATTCAAATCCAAACTGAATCTCAAGTTAGAAAGGACTTTAAAATTATCTGAGAAAATCTATCCCATGGTGCAAAATTCCTCCTTCTCTCCCCATCCCCGCCCCTCCCCCCTCAATAATGGCTCAGTAAAAAGTAAAATTTGTAAACTCTATAGCTTCACTTCCAGGATCCCTACTCTATAATGATGTTAGTAACTCTCTTCAGAGTGATATAAGGCAACACCTGAACCTGGCATTGTTGTATTTATTTGATATTTCCCCCAAATCATCCATGATCCACTGATGCATGGACTACTACAATCAAGAACTTTTGATTCTAGGATTTTATGCAATGGGACTTACTTCTTTAGTTGTTTTCTTTTATATCCTACTTTTGTACCTTGTCATTTTTTTTTCTGTTACAACATAAATATAAAAGCTCATGTGTTTTCCTTTTTTTTTTTTTTTAAAAAAAAATGTACTGTCGAAAGTATTATATAGCCAAAGCCGGTTTGGCTCAGTGGTAGAGCATCGGTCTGTGGACTGAAAGGTCCCAGGTTCGATTCCAATCGGGGGCATGTACACTGGTTGCGGGCACATCCCCGGTGGGGGGTGTGCAGGAGGCAGCGGGTCGATGTTTCTCTCTCATCGACATTTCTAGCTCTCTATCTCTCTCCCTTCCTCTCTGTAAAAAAATCAATAAAATATATTAAAAAAAAGAAAATATTATATAGATTCTCCTTTCCCATCCCCTATTGCCCCCTTCTAGCCCACCACTGTTTTCATTTAAAAGTTCATATGCTCGCCCTAATTGGTTTGACTCAGTTGATAGAGTTTGGGCCTGTAGACTGAAGGGCTTCCAGTTGGATTCTGGACAAGGGCACATACTTGGGTTGCAGACTTGATCCCCAGTAGGGGATGTGCAGGAAGCAACTGATCAATGATTCTCTCTCATCATTGATGTTTCTATCTCTCACTCTCTCTCTTCCTTCCTCTATGAAATCAATAAACATATATTTTTTTTTTTTTTTTTTTTTTAAATATATATTTTATTGATTTTGTACAGAGAGGAAGGGAGAGAGATAGAGAGTTAGAAACATCGATGGGAAAGAGTCATCGATCAGCTGCCTCTTGCACACCCCTTACTGGGGATATGCCCGCAACCAAGGCACATGCCCTTGACCGGAATCGAACCCGGAACCTTTCAGTCCCCAAGCCGACGCTCTATCCATTGAGCCAAACCAGCCTCAGCAATAAACATATATTTTTAAAAAGAAGTTTATACATGGCACTAGGAAAGCAAAAGAACATTTTCTGCTTAATATTGTTAGTAATTGGAGAGGCTACTAGATCAACAAGAACATAAAAATAACATTATATGCTTTCAATTCAAATCATGGAGTACATACTCCTATGATAATAAATGTAAATATATAAGGATTATCATAATAAAATGCAGCTGCTCCCATTTTTACAAATTCCCAATATTTTTCATGTATCAGGGAATGGATTTGTCTATATAATGTATGAGGTAAATGACAAGCCTCTTCCACTTCTAGCATCTAAGTGCTTAACCTGGTAGTTTATGGGGCACAGCATCAGAAAAGCCTAAATCTTGATCATCTATGGGATTTAAACATATATATCATGTTTCAAACACTAAAATGGCTAAGGGGGCCAGTCAGGTAAAAGAAAAGTCTGAAGCAAATCAGACTGACTGTGCCATTGAAAGTTTTCAGACATTCAACTCCCGAGGAATGTTGCCACACTGGAATGCAAGCCTATTGCCTGTCTGTCTTCACCTTTTTCTAGAGAAACCAGAAATAGGGGTTTTTGTGAAAAAGCTCTTATTTTTGAGTGCTGGGCACTAATTTAAAAATAATTAAGTTGCCCAAACCGGTTTGGCTCAGTGGTAGAGCTTCAGTCTGCGGATTGAAGGGTCCCAGGTTCGATTCCGGTCAAGGGCATGTACATTGGTTGTGGGCACATGGGGATGTGCAAAAGGCAGCTGGTCAATGTTTCTCTTTCATTGACGTTTCTAACTCTCTCTCCCTTTCTTTCCTCTCTGTAAAAAAAAAAAATCAATAAAATATATTTAAAAATAATTAAGTAGTGCACTCACTAAGTAAAAGGCACATTCAATCAGCAACATCAAATAAGTAGTTTGATAACCTTATTAGCCTTCCAGGCCTGCAGGATGCAGGATGGGTTGGAGTTGGGTGGGGTAGAAGGAGATATCACTGAGAGATAATAGGACTATTTGGGGAACTAACAAATCACCTAGAAAAAACAGTCCAGAATACTGGCACTGGCCTGGCTATAGGGTCTAATGACAGGAAACCTTGACACTGGGGACCAGGAAATCATACATGAACTCTTCTCAATCTAGGTCCTGAGGACTTTTAACCTGAGAAAGAAAGGGTTATTAAAAAAATAATAATTTCTTGAGAGTCCCAGGCTACTCTGCTGGGAAATTTCTATTCCTTCATCAAAATGTTGAGTTGGGAATAGATTTCTACCTGTGACCCTAGCAAAGTGCTAGGTACAATTGTAGATAAAAATAGAAATGGGGTGATGTCTTCTCTCTTCAAGGCAGAAAAGACTAACTTTGAAATACAGTGAAAAATACCTGAATCCAGTGGGAAACTGGTAGAGTTAATGTTTTAGAAAGTAAAGACCTACAAGCAGTGTTATTAGGTGATACTTTATAAATAGGCAGAGCTGTTAATCCTTAAATCCTTTCATGTAGCAACTGTTACTGAGTCCAGCGCACACCAAGTTCTGGGCCAAGTGGTAAAAATGCAAGGAGAACTCATGGAGGTGCCTGACTTAAAGGGACAGACCGGTTTAGAGGGCAGACTGGACTGCAGATGTTATGTTGAGAGGGCAGGGCGGGGCGAGGATAAAACTCCTGACTCCACTGTGGGGTGGGGCGGAGTTATCCTCCATTAATTGGACTCTAGCCCAATCAGGGTCAGCCAAAGCAGTGACATCACCACTGAAGTGCCATCTTGGCGAAATTAGCTTCTTCAGCCATGCTGCCGGCGAGAGTGGGACAGAGCCCATGCTAGCATGGAAGAGGCTCTTTTGTTTATTGCATCTGACTCAGCTCCCTGGTGGTCCTTGGGGAGGTTAGGTATGTGAGGGAGGTTAGGTACAGAGCAGGCTGCTTCCAGTGTGTACGGCCTGGTGTGGCCTCTGAAGGACTGGGACAGGAGGTGGACCTTCAAACAGTTTTAAAACATAAAGCTCAAAGATAAGTGTCTTTATTATGCAAATAATGATGTAAAGAAGATTGTCTTGCCTTATTCTTTCAGAAAATAGAACAAAATGATGATGTGTGAAATTGCAGAAAAAAGGAAGTGGTTTTTTAATGTGGTTTATTTTTACATGCAGTTGCATAATAGTACACTATCTTTTCTTTCAGATACACTGGCCCAGTACAGCACTAAAAACAGAAGAATGCATAATGAAAGGAAAAGATGCAGTAAGTATTATCCATTATAAATTAAGTAAAATAATCAATTATATCTCTCATCAATCACAAAATACTGAATCCCTAACTTTTTATTTGCTTTAAAAATCATATGTGCTATTTATCTCAAGAATATATATATTCTTGATATATATATATATATATATATATATATATATATATATACACACAAACATGTATAAGCATATACAGTATATACATATATTATACTAGAGGCCCCAGTACATGAAATTCTTGCATGGAGGGGTGTGTCCCTCAGCCCAGCTTGCACCCTCTCCAATCTGGGAACCTACAAGGGATGTCTGACTGCCCATTTAGGCCCAATCCTAGTAGGATCAGGCTAAATGGGCAGTCAGACATCCCTCTCACAATCCAGGACTGTTTGCTCCCAACTGCTCACTTGCCTTCCTGATGGCTTCTGCCTGCCAGCCTGATCACCCCCTAACCACTCCCCTACCAGCCTGATTGATGCCTAACTGCTCCCTTGACAGCCTGTTTGCCCCTAACTTCCCTTCCCTGCAGGCCTGGTCACCCCTAATTGCTATCCCCTGAAGGCCTGGTCCTCCCCCAATTGCCCTCCCCTGCAGGCTTGATTGCCCCCAACTGCCCTCCCTTGCAGGCCTGATCCCTTCTAACTGCCCTCCCCTGCTGGCCATCTTATGGCAGCCATCTTGTGTGTTGGAGGATGGTCAATTTGCATATTACTCTTTTATTAGAAAGGATAGAGGCCTGGTGCATGGGTGGAGGCCAGCTGGTTTACCCTGTAGGGTGTCCCAGATCAGGATGGGGTTCTCTTGGGGCATGAGGCGGCCTGGGCCAGGGGCCTGTGGTAGTTTGCAGGCCAGCTTTGCCCTTGGCAACCCAAGTGGAGGCCCTGGTATCTGGAATTTATTTATCTTCTATAGTTGAAACTTTGTAGCCTTGAGTAGAGGCCTTGGCTGGCCAGGATGTGCTGGAAGCTTGGCTTCCTCCATTATCAGGAAACCCAAGGTTCCTGCTTGTTCTGTGGCTGCAGCCATCTTGGTTGGGTGCTCGTAACTCTGACATTTGTCTACATGCGCCTAATTGACTAGTGGGAGTGTCTTGTGGGTGTAGCAGAGTGATGGTTAATTTGCAAGTTACTCTTGTATTAGATTAGATATGTACATACAATATTTAAAAATTAATTTCAATACTTAAGGAGTTGAAGTGCCATCTCAAACTTAGTTTTTATTTTATTTTATTGTGTTTTAATTTACTCAGATTTATAAACTCCTTATGCTAATGTTTATTTCCTATGTATTTGGGGAAAAAAATTGTAGGTAATGTTTTAATTTGAGGAAAATCTATGCACACTCTGAGATTTTTATTTCCCTTTGTTCAGCAAATTAGAAACATGCAGAACAAAAAGAGAAAAAAAAGTTTGAAGAAAGAATGCAAAAGCAGTAAATATGCCTTACACATTCTACACATTGTTAAAGGGTCTCTCCTGCTTACAGATTCAGCATTCCACTTCCCCACAGCTTCTCTGCAGTGTGTGCGTGAGAAAGCGTGACAGCAGCACCATCCCTGTCAGAGTTACGAGCACATTAACACATGAGTGAAGGGGTGACCTTCACCTGCTGGCCAATGACACCATGCACATCTTTGGAGAAAGGCATGCACATCTCTTTTGAAACTCAGCTTATCCTGTTTTTCAGGAAGAAAGCAAAGCACCATGTAAAAGACTCACATTATGCCAACTCAATTCTCTGTAGTAACTGGGTCCCAGCCAAGGAATGAGTCAAGACATTCTTGCTGCCTTGGTCCTCTGTGTGATGCTGAGGAAGTGAGCACATTCTAAGGCTATATTCAATCTAAGTTTGGCTGAGCCAAAATGTGGGCTAATTGGCTCAGTCAAGATGTGTTAGTGTTTCAACAGATGAAGAGCAGGCAATACTAGAGGCCCAGTGCATGAACTTGGGCATGGGTGGGGTCCCTAGGCTTGGCCATCAATCAGGGCTGATTAGGGCTGTCTCACCTAGTCCTGATCTAGGCCAGGCCAATTGGGGCCAGGCCAATTGGGGCCTGCCAGCCTCGAGGAGGGAGCGGGGAAGGTTGGCCAGCTGCAGGAGATTGGCTTTGGGGGCCCACTGACCACCAGGGGGTAGCTCCTGTATTGAGTGTTTGCCCCCTTGTGGACAGTGTGCGATATAGTGACTAGTCGACCAGTCATTCTCATCCTTGGGCTGTAACAGTCGCTTAGGCTTTTATATATAGAAATGAGACTATAATATTTTCTCCATGCCTGGGGAAAAACACATTATTCCACTATATGGGTCACCCATAGAATAAAATGCTGCATGAGTGGGAAATTGAAGAAATAAATATGTGCCCTGAGTAATCAGTTTAGTACTGCTATAACCTGAATCAGTTATGGTGAGGTGGTTCTGCTGGCTTTTTATCCTAACAGTTATTTTATCAGAACCTTTAAAGCCACAATCTGTCCTCATAAAAGATTATCTCTACTGATTATTGCATTATTGCATGTATCAATGTCAAAATAATATTTATCATTTAAAGGTTTAGTATTTCTCTCATATTTTGTTTTAAATGAAGTAACAATACTTTTTTGCCTACAAGGTGTTTGCTAGAATTAATTTAGCCAAATTGGTTTGAAGCTATTTAAGTATTTTTCCATTCAGCTTATTGATCATAAAACTTGCCTAATGATTGAGTATTAAAACTTTGTTAAGCACAATATGTATTACATACTGTGTTTGATTAACTGGAGAATACAAAGATGTGTAAAAATAAACATTCTGTCCTCAAAAAGCTTCCAATTGATTACCAAAGAGGCAAACTGGAGTTCTTGAGCCAAATGTGGCCTGCCATAAATAAAGTTTTATTAGAACACTAGAGGCCCAGTGCACAAATTTGTGCATGGGTGGGGTCTGGCAGTAGGTTGGCTGGCTGGACTGCCCTGATTGGGACCTGATAAGGGGTAGGCCAACCATGAGGAGGAGCTATGGATAGTGGGCTGGCCAGCCCCGGCCCTGAATGGGATGGGGGAGCCTAATGGAGGTCAGCAGACAGGGGAGGGGCCATGGGAGATTGGCTGGCCAGCCCCACCCACCATTGGTGTGTCTGGGGAAATCAGGGGTGGAGCTGTCTGGGGGGAGGTTGGCCGGCTGGCCCCACCCCCCATTGGGCAGTTTCGCTAACCACACTGGGCTTCATAGCAACTGGTTGTTCTGGTCCTTATGGCATTCTAGTCACTGGCTTTTTATATATAGATAGATAGGCATCCACACTCATTTGTGTATTGGCTATGGTTGCTTTGATGCTGTAACTGCATAGATAAGTAGTTGCAACCACAATGTAAGTGGTAGAGATCAGATCACCATTGAATTAAATATGTACACTATTTGATCCTTTGTAGAAAAGTTTTCTGATCCCCCAATGGTACTCTTATTGTAATCGCTTTAAAATGTTATTTTTATTGGCTAACTTTCTATCTATTTACTTGGAGATTCTCTATGAAAGTGCTTTATGTAAATTAATGTTTGAAGATATGATTTGTTTTTCCAACATTAAAACTCTGTGAATGCTCTAAAGTGCATAGATGTTTTCTTATGAATAAAGACGCTTTTTCTAACCATTGGTTTTCTGAGTTTATGCTGATTCATTGTTTATATATACTTTCAAAAAATAACAACATTGGGGCTAACTTAATTACTTAGTGGAACATATTCAAACTTCACACTTGAATAAATTTCCCTACAGTGCTTTTTAAGAATTTCTCAGTGCATATTAGAATTCATGAAAATAATTCACTCTTATTATTAAGTGAAAGTCCCACATCGCTGCTAACAAAAATGTGCATCCATCACCCAGGTCTCTTCTTCCTCTGCTCCTTGTCCTTTTTTTCCCTTTTCATCTGCACCTTTTGCCTCCTCTAGCCAGGGAAGACTTAAATTCCTGGGGTAAACATTTTTATCCCTCTAATAATTTTCTTTCTTTTTTTTTCTGCTCTAGAGTGAATGTGCAAATTATGTTCGGGTTTTGCATCACTATAACAGGACACACCTCCTGGCCTGTGGCACTGGAGCTTTCGACCCCCTTTGTGCCTTCATCAGAGTTGGGTACCATATGGAGGTAAGGCGATTTCATTCACTGTTATCAATAAAAATAATGATGAGAATCATTCACTGAATAATTTTATCTCCTTAATTTGTCCATGCAAAATTATTTGTTAATATGAAACTATGTTCTCTATTGTGTTCTTATATAATTTTTATTAATGTAACCACCAAACTGGAATGAACATATTCATAGATTTATATATGCATCTACATATACATATAGTATTTTATAAGGGACATGCAAGGACTGTTGATTCTGTAATTACTCCTTTGTCAGGTGAGGTAGAGAGGTGGGATTTTAGGTGGGGAGAGATTGCAAACTGATATATTAAGTATGAGTGGGTGGGAGCTATATATCTTTCCCCATACCTTATCACTAGGCTTGTTAGTAAACAAAAATAGGTTGAAATAAAAGCTATTTTAACAAACTGGGTAAGCCCTCAAACCTCACTTATTTTAGGGACAATTTTAAACACCTTACATCACAGTACCACTCTGAAGCATATTAAACAATATTCTGATGTCAAGATCTGATTATTAACTTTCCTTTAGGACAAAAGGCAGATCCTGCATTAGGATGTGACACAGATAAAGCAGAGCTCTGCATACTACTGTTGTGTAGCTGAGCAGGTGGACACTCTTGATTCTCATATCCCAATTGTGAGAGGGCAGCTCTGACTATAAATATTGGGTATCTCCAAAAATGTATACACACACTTTGACTAATTATAAAGGCAGTGTTTATAAAAATACATTTATTTTAAAAATTGAGCAATCAGCTGTTAAATATATACATTTTTGGGGACTCCCTGTATTTTCAGCCAGCCCATATAAAGAACAAAATTCATTTCTGTAGAGAAAAATTATTTCTGATATTTCTTATAGTAGTGAACACTCAGGTGCACATATAATTAACAATATCTGAAGTGCTTGCTCTAAGCTGCCTCTGGAGAGTGCCCTGATTGAAGTACTTTATCTGTTAAGTGTCCTTATAGGCTAGTTTTTGATTAGCATATTTTAAATGTTAACTAACCCCCCGCTAGTTATAGATTAAAGTTAAGTAGCATGCATAAACACATCACAGTGCATTTACTAAATTATTTTAAAGAAACAGTGCAGATGATATAATAGGAAACTTTATTTTTTTAAAAAAATATATTTTATTGATTTTGTACAGAGAGGAAGGGAGAGAGATAGAGAGTTAGAAACATCGATGAGAGAGAGTCATCGATCAGCTGGCTCTTGCACACCCCCTACTGGGGATATGCCCGCAACCAAGGTACATGCCCCTGACCGGAATCGAACCCGGGGCCTTTCAGTCCCCAAGCTGACGCTCTATCCATTGAGCCAAACCGGTTTCGGCTATAATAGGAAACTTTAGCTAGAGATATAGAAGGAAAGCGGGTCCAGTGCAGTCAGAATATTTACACATAAACAACTATACAAAGAATACATATGCATGTACATACATATATACATGAGTATACACATGGATATACATATATACATATGTGTATGCAAACACATATAATACACATATACAAAGTCAACATAGTGGAGATCTATTGGAAAAAAATCCTCTCAGTTTCTCTTATCTGAAAAAGCCTTTGTTTTATTTTCATCTTTGAAGGATATTTTCTCTGGATATAGAATTTTGGGGTAACAATTTTTTTTCTTTCAGCATCTAAAAATGTTTACGGTCCTCTAATCCTTCCTGGTGTAAATTCAGATTTCATATATATTCCCCTGAAGAGGAGAAAGAGGGAATGAGGCAGAAATATTATCTATACTAATAAAAGGTAAAATGCTAATTAGACCGGGTCAACCAGCCATCTTTCAGACTTCCGGATAAAGCCATGGTGGTGGGAGCCTAGGCAGAGGCAGATAGGGGCGATTAGGCCAGCAGGGGAAGGCAGTTGGAAGCGAACTGGCCTGCAGGGGAGGGCAGTTGGAGGCAAGATCAGACTGGCAGGGGAGGGCAGTTGTGAGCTTTAGGCAGGCAGGCATGTTCGGGGATTTAGGCAGGCAGTGGTCCTGCATCGCAAGGGAGATGTCCGACTGCCGATCCACAGGGATCAGGCCTAATCTGGCAGTCAGACATCCCCCGAGGGGTCCCCAAATTAAAGAGGGTGCAGACTGGGCTGACGCACAGCCCTCCCTCTGTGCACAAATTTCATGCACCAGGCCTCTAGTTTAAAATAATGATTATATATATGCTAGAGGCCCAAAGCATGAAATTTGTGAGAGTAGACCTGCCTTCCCCCAGCTGCTGGCAGCACCTTTCCTCTGGCACCTGGGACCTGGGCTTCCCTTACAGCCTGGGTTCATCCAGAAGGTTGTCTGGAAGGACATCTGGTCTAATTAGTATAATACACACACACACACACACACACACACACACACACACACACACACATATATATATATATATATATATATATATATATATATATATATACAGTATATCCAAAATTCTGTCTATTTTTATTCAGTCTTTTTTCCCGTCTGTTTTTCAAACTGGATAAATTCTGTTGATTTACTATCAGGTTTATTAACCCTTTCTTCTGACATCCCTAATATGCTCTTAAGCCCGCACCATTAATGGTTCTTACAGATATTGTACCTTTCAAACATAGAACCTTCACTTTCTCTATGTTTTTATTTACATACTAAGTGTTCCTCCCAGTTTCTATTCATAATGCCTATATTTACCTTTAAGCAATTGAACATATTTTTTAACAACTGTTTTAAAATCTCGGTGTGCTCATTTAAACTGTGGGTCAACCTAAAGTAAGTTTGCATTGACTGCTTTTTCTCTTGGCTCTGGATCACATTTTCTTGTTTCTTTGCATATCTATTAATTATTGTGAACTGGACACCATCGATCGTATGTTCTCATTCTGCGCTTTGGATTCTGTTATCTTTTGAAGAAAGTTGATTTTTATTCTAGCAGGCAGTTTACTCAGCTGGACTCAAAGCACTCTTAGGATGATCAGCGGCCACAAATCTTTCCATTTTCCAGCCACTGCTTTTCATGGTCTGCTTGCACATGCAGTTCCTGTGTCAGCCAAGGATTTGGGGGAGAATCTACGCACATTTCAGGATTCCTCTCTCAGTTTCTAGTTATCTCTTCTTGCTTTTCCTCTGATCTGGTACTTTACATGTCTGTTTTATGGCTTTCTAATCTAAAAAGGCTCTAGCTTTCTGTTTGCTTCTAGCCTGTTTCATAACACGAACTGTGGGTTACCTTACATGGAAAACTGTTCAGCTTTGGCCAGTTCTGCTCAGTGGTTAGAGCCTCAGCCTGAGCACTGAAGGGTCTCAGATTTTATTCCAATCAAGGCCATGTACCTGGATTGCAGGTTGGTTCTCTGGCCTGTTTGGAACACGAGTGGGAGGCAAACAATTGATATCTCTCTCACATGATATTTGTCTCTCTCTCTCTACCCCTCTTTTCCTCCCTTCTACTCCCTCTAAAATTAAAAACCAAACAAACATTATTCTCTGGTGAGGTTTCATGTAATTCATCTTCATATGTGCGATATTGACTCTTTTTCTCATATAATTATGAGAAATAGGTATTAAATACGATTGAAAACACATTTTGAAAAAAATCTGTGTGTGACCTAAGAGGAATTTGTGGCCATCTGATAATGAGAGCAGTGAGATTTATTCCTTGAACTCCATTTGGAGGCTTGATAACATTTTAGCTGAGAGAATGAGAAATTACAAACTGTTATAGGCAAGAAAAATACTTTGATTAAACAAGCTAGAGGCAGGCACGTATGGGATAGGTTTGCAATCAGTCTAGTTGGTTCAGAAGCAGCAGGATACAGAGCGAGGACAAATTGGGGAGGATTTTAATGTCAGACAGTGGCATTCTGTAGTTTATTTTAAAGGCAACATGATGACCACGAAGGAGTTTGAGCAGCGTTTGATTGGCATTGCATTCGTAACATTTTGGATTGACTCAAGCAGAGAGATGAAAGGCAGAGAGGAATCAGAGGAAACCCCGGGGATATTTAACAGTGTTGTCACAGAAGGACAGGAAGCGTGGAGCTGATGTGAGAAGCTGCTCAGCAGGGGAGTTTATGTAACTAACATTTTGTTGGATGTTGCTGATGAAAGGGAACTGCAAACCAATTCCATTCTACTTCTTGATGGGGAAGGAAAACAAAGTATTTAACAGCAAGAGGGAGCTAAGGACTCTGAGTACTAGGTTTTTGTGAGAACATAAAAAATGTTTGGTATTTGTCAGTTGTAACTCTTTAATTTCCATGTACAATTGTTTAAAAAAATTATCCTAGAGCCAAGAGAGAATGTTATCAGAATAGATTAAATCTCACAATAGATTGCATTATTGAACCCTTGAGAGTTAATGGTCCCTGAAAGATCCCCCCCACTCCTCTCTCCATCTTATTTTTTTTCTCACTTGCTTTCTCTTTCTGTCTCACCCTCTCTCACTTTATCAAAGAAACTTGGAGAGTGCCATTATTTAGATGACAGTAGAATGGGAATATCAGTGTAAAGAGACCGAGCAGACAGATCAGTTTAGTGCAAATTCAGAAGCACACTTGTAAAAGGAAAAACGAATTTTTAAAGTGATAGGCAACATCATTAATGCTACAGAGAGGGCAGTTTTAGTAAAGTCGTGAGTAATTAGAATGTAGGAGGTTAAGAAATCACTGAAAATGCCAAAATAAAGGCAGTAATATTACCTATTTAATCCAGGGATGGACTTGTTAGGAACAGAAATATTGGGGAGGATATAAAAATGTGTGGAGTGTTGAAAGGATCTCTTAGCACAGTGGCTATAGAAACGATATTTGTCAAGAGGATATGACCACTTAGCTTCTTGCAGCTAGGGTATCTATGATGCCTTCATCTTTTATCTGAAGGTTGCTTTTTCCTTCACCTTCTTTACCCCTTTCTTGAAAAGGTTTTGCAGTTTGTTCTTGGAAGTGGGGTGGGCGGGTTCATTTGGAGGATTGGCAGGGCTTTCTCTCTCCCTCA